CATCAACATAAAGAAGAAGATATATATATGATCTGTCTTGTAGCGTGCGTAAATACACACAATGATCATATTTGCTTCTTGTGTACTTCTGGCCTATCATAAACTTGTCAAATCGCTTGTACCTCTACCTTGGAGATTGCTTCAAACCGTACAATGATTTTTCTAATTTGCACACCATCTTTTCTTTTTCAGCAACTTTGAATCCATCTAGCTGAGTCATGTAGATTTCCTCATCCAAATCTCCATGTAAAAATGTAGTTTTTACATCCATCTGAACTAGTTCCAAATCCAACTGCGCTACCAAAGCCAACAAAATTCTAATGGAGCGTAGCCTTTAGCCACCAATCTTGCTTTGTAGCGGATGTTATTCTTGTCAGGAAATCCATATTTCTTTGCATATACCCACTTGTACCCAATTGTCTTCTTTCCCTTCGGAAGACTAGCTAGTTTCCACGTCTGATTCTTTTGAAGGGATTGTATTTCTTCATTCATGGCTTTTTTATGTTCTGAACTTTGGACTGCTTCATTAAAAGTGGCAGGAACGTCATCAATTGCAATTGGTGATGCAAAATAGACCATATCAGCATAACAAGCAGGTTGTCTAATGGTCATCTTTTCCTTTCTGAGTGCAATTGATTCATGTTACTGTGGAGGTTCTTGGGTCTGAAGCTCTTCTTCATCTGACTCTTCTTCTACCATAGGAGAGTTAACATCAGTTTCTTTACTGGCTGGGTCAATTCTGCTTCCTTCAAACTCCACCTGTTTGGGAGTTCCATCTGTCTGCTCTAATTTTTCTGAAGTCACCTTTCTCAACATGGTAGATACATCAAAGGTAACATCCCTGCTGAAGATTATTTTCTTTGTTTCTAGACACCAAAGACGATAGCCTTTCACACCAGAGGTGATCCCCATAAAGATCTCCTTCTTTGCTCTTGGATCCATCTTTGACTCCTTAACATGGTAGTATGCAGTGGAACCAAACACATGTAAGGAATCATAATCTGTAGTAGGTTCTCCAAACCATTTCTCTAATGGTTTTTTACCACCAATAGTAGTCGATGGTAAGCGGTTGACAAGGTAACAAGCATAGACCAAAGCCTCAGCCCAAAATTCTTTGCCTAACCCAACATTAGATAACATACACCGAACCTTCTCCACTAATGTCTAGCTCATACGCTCTGCCACCCCATTCTGTTGGGATATAGATCTGACAGTGAAATGCCTGACAATACCTTCTTCTTCACAGACTTTCAGAAATGGATCATTTTTGTACTCTCCACCATTATTTGTATGGAGACGTTTGATTTTTCTGCCTGTTTGAGTCTCCACCATCTTTTTCCATTTAAGGAAAAATCCTAGCACCTCATCATTTGTCTTCATTGTATACACCCAAACTCTCCGGGAAAAATCATCAACAAAGGTGACATAACAGTGTGTTCCTCCCAATGATGTTGTCTTGGAAGGCCCCCATACATCTGAATGAACATAATCCAAAATACCTTTAGTATCATGGATTGCAGTTCCAAATTTCACCCTCGTCTTCTTCCCTTTGATGCAATGCTCATAAAAAGCTAATTTGCAAGCCCGAGGACCCTTTAATAATCCTTGATCTATCAGAAATTTCAAGGATTTTTCACCAATATGCCCCAAGCGCATATGCCATAACCTGGCTGCTTCTGACTCATGTTCATCAGTAGAAGCTGCCACTGCTGTTGTCCCAACAATTTTACTACCCAGAAAGTAATACACATTGTTTCTTTTCTGGATTCCCTTCATTATCACCAGTGCACCAGAGATAATCCTCATAATCCCATCTTTTGCCCTCACTTCTAAACCTTTTGACTCTAAGGTTCCCATAGAGATGAGATTTCTCATTAAATGTGGTACATAATGGACACCTGTTAAGGTTCTGATTGATCCATCCTGATTCCTCAAGCGAATTGAACCAATCCCAAGTGTGTCAAGAGGGGAATTATTTACTGCGTAGACAATTCCACCTTTTAGTTCTTTAAAATCAAAGAACCATTCTCTATTGGGGGTCATATGGTGGCTACAAGCTGAATCTAACAACCATGAACTAGAACAGCTGGTTGATGGCGTAGCAGCGAATACGAAATATGAATCTGTATCATCATACTCGACCACATTTGATTCTGAGATAGCTTTTCCCCTTTCAGGTTTGCCTTTATTCTTTAGCCTGTGACATTATTTCCTCCAGTGCCATTTTTCTCGACAAAAGGCACATTAATCTTTGCTCAATCTGGACTTTGACTTCGATCTCCCTCTCCTTCCTTTATTCTGACTCTTCGAACGACCTCTAACAACAAGAGCTTCTGCTTCGACACTTGTATTTTCTTGTTTGTCTTTCGTTCTCAATTCATAACTATACAAGGCAACAGTTACTTCACTGAGAGACACTTCAACCTTCCCATGAAGTAGAGTAGTTTCAAGATACTCAAACTCATCAGGAAGTGATCCCATCAACATCAGAGCCAGATCTTCGTCTTCAAAAGTCACGTCCAAATTCATCAGATCAATCACCAACTGATTAAAGATAGTAATGTGATCATTCATAGTGGTACCTGGTACATAGTTGAAGCGGAACAATCTCTTTTTCATGTAGAGCTTGTTCTGACCGTTTTTCTTCAAAAATTTCTCCTCCAATGCCTTCCACAATTTACTTGCAGAAGTTTCATTAGAAAATGCATACTTCTGCTCTCTAGAAAGACACGATCGAATAGTACCACATGCCAATCTATTGATCCTCTTCCATTCTTTCTCCTCAACATCATCTGGTTTCTCTCCTTCAATAGCAATGTCTAGACCCTGCTGAAATAGGGCATCTAGAACCTCACTTTGCCACATGCCGAAATGACCGGTGCCATAAAAAATCTCCACTGCAAATATAACATTTGTCACATCATTTCTTGCGGATGTTTTTGTGTCGTCTTCCATTTCTGCTACAAATTCTTTTTAATAGCTGTCAATGCGGAATGTCAATTAACCCAAGGAAATTTTTTCTGATGTGGAAGATCAGCCTAAGCCGCAACCACAGAGCATACTAAAATAAACCAAGATCTATGATACCAATTGTTGTGGAATTCGATTTAATTTCTACCAATAATAACAAATTCACCTTGAAAACTATTATCTAGGTGACTAGTGTGAAAACGATTGTACTAAAAATTACCCCAAGGTAGATTCCCAGGAAATAGGAGGGGTCACAATGGTCCCTCTTAAAATCCACTTTCCTTAGACAAAACTACCAAGATAACTAATTTTAATAGGACAATAATTAACAACTATACCCGACAATAACTATTAAATAGACATAAAAAAACACTGAAATTTAACGAGGTTAGGCCAAAATTATGCCTACCTCCTCGAACACTACTAAAATAATATTTCACTAATAGAGGAAATATTACAAAGAGAGAAAGAGTACAAATAGACTTTAATAGTGAATAAGGCTTATATTTGTGGGATGCTTAACTAAGGAGGAGGAGGGCTCTATTTATAACAAAAGAATTTCCCCTCCTCCTTATACACAACCAATGTGGGACTTTGCCAAAAAACCAACAAGAACCAGGAGTAGGAAGGAGGCGATGAGAATGATCGACATGTTGAATGTATTTGGTAGCAGAAATACTGGTAAAGCTTGCGAGGAACGATAATAAATCATTGGACACAAAACCACAACCTGGGAAGTTGGTTTGGAGACAAAAAAAAGTTGGTAACACCGATGATCGAAATGAAGGAAGTGGGTAAAAATAGTCAATTGGAAAAATAAAAGGAGTAAAGAGGTCATGTTGAAGATGCAGATCTATGGAAGGCAAGAAGATGCTTGATATGCGAATCAGCAACAATAACCAAGGTTAGCATTGAAGGAAGGGGCATTTTTACCGAAATATCACCCGTACCACCAATATTTACCTATCAAACACCCTCACACCAAATATTACCGATCTAGAACCCTTTCTGACACGATGGTAATAAAGCACGGATCGCCGTCCGCGCCTTCGAGGGGTTCTTTCCGAGCTGGCATCACGTAAGGAAAGACACAGATCGTCGCGGGGTTTCTGACACGTACGGAAGGCGCAAAATATTTTACCACTCCATAATTACCCTAGCCTGAAAACTCGGCTTTTAATCCCTCCCTCTCCCCTATAAATAAGAACCCCTCTGAATGCAAACATCAAAAAATAAAATTACTTGCTTATTCTAACTTCTATCAATTCCTTCTATCAAGCTAAGTAGATTTTGTTATTGTTTTTATAAGGTAAAATTATTTTTTATCATATTATATTTATTTATATTTAATTATTTGAACAAATATTTTTGTAGTAATTTTTTTTGTATATTTTTTGCGGTTGTAAAATTGGAAAGCGGGATAATACCTCGAGACATTTTGTCGATACGGTAACAATATAAAATGATGTTATTTAAATTATGCATAATGCAAACAAATACCCTTGGCGTTTGACACTATATGCATTTTTCCCCAATTGTTTTCTTGGAGCATTTATCCCCACAATGTTTAAATATGATTCAGAAGTCCCCTCGTTGGATGAAAACCGTCAGTCAACTGACGGTCAACGGGTCCAGCTGACTAAGCAAGCACAGGTGGACAACGATGATGACGAAGCATTTCCACATCACTAATATATGCGGATGGAGGAGACGGCGAAGAGTGTGCCGGCGAGACCGATGAAGAGGCAGAGGAGTGAAAAAGGCGAGAAGCGGCAAGGGAGTCCGAGTTTATGAAAATGAGTAAAAGGGCTTCGATGGCTTGATAGGCTTGGAAGAGTAGAAGGATGGGTGTGAGAAAATATAGTAAAAACGGTAATGAAGATCCGATAGATTTTTAACAGCAGTCACTCACTGAATTGAATGGTTGTGTAGCTTTGTAAGAGTGAGCTGGAGCTTCAAAAAAATATAGTAGTTCTTGTAAAGGGTTAAGTCCATTAACCTCAAAAGCTACTTCTCTCCCGAGAAACGCCATGAAAGTTTCTCCCATTATGCACCGGAAAGGGAGAGCGGAGAAATCCGAGGCGAACCAAAGTGATGGACGGACGCTTGATGAAATTTACAATCAGCTGCATGGTGAAAATAACCATGTTGCGAGGACTAAATCTGATACTAAACCGACATCCGGGGAGATACCGACTAAGCTTCCTTGGAATATGAAGAAATCCGCTAGTGTAAAGTCCGCTTTTCGACATTTTGAGGAAGATGATATCGTTGAAACTCGACGGTCGACCACCGTGAGGGAAGGGAAAGATAAATCCACGGAGGATGACGAGGAAAATAATGAAGTGGATGCCAAAGCAGATGATTTCATCAACAAGTTCAAGCAGCAGTTAAAGTTACAAAAGCTCGATTCAATCATTAGGTACAAAGAGATGGTTAATAGAGGAATTGAAATATGAAAGTAAATTAAACTTAAAAGCTTTAGATTTTAAATATACTTTTATGGGGATTAATTTCAAGGTTTTCCATGATCGGTGAGGCTGTAGATCCATTACTGGTATTGTTTTTCCAGAACTTTGTGTTAGGAAAAATATGGCACTACTGTTATTTTTCCAGAAATTTATTATTGGTTTACTTATATTTTGTTACACAAAATAACCAAGTAGCATGCTTGGCTTGGTGGCAAGGGCCATCCCATTTCATGCCCTTGCCCCAGTTCGATTCTCATTCCCTGCATTTAGGAGCCTTATATCCAGTCTATCCAATACGTAATAAATTCTAATTTAAATTTAATTTTTAAATAAAAAATGCTAACGTGTCAATTCCACATCAGCATATATTAGTGACGTGGAAATGCCACATCATCATTATTGTCCACCTATGAATGCTTAGTCAGTTGGACTCGTTGAGCTGACGGTTTCCATCCAACGGGGGACTTCTTAATCATATTTAAACGTTGTGGGGACAAATGCTCCAAAAAAACAATTGGGGCAAAAATGCATATAGTGTCAAACGTTAGGGGTATTTGTTTGCATTATGCCTTTAAATTATAGTGAAATTTTTTAAATTTATTTGGATTAATTTATATTAATTATTATTTATTTAATTAGACATATTTCAGTTATTGTTTTTGTAGATATAAGACTCACAGTCTTTAAAACTCTTAAAATGACGCCTATTTCAACTATTGTTTACTGTGATGGAGAAATTCGAGAAGATGAAACCGACATCGTCTTCACATTAAATCACTCTTGATAAAGTGAGTTTTAAAGAGTACAATATCGGCTTACTTGCCTCTCTTTGTGTTACTTTCTTGGAGTGACTTGTGAGGTTTCTTGCTTTGTTGAATTTTCTTTCTTTTATTTTTATTTTCCTTTAAAATTTTCTTTCGAGTGTTATGATTTCAGGATGAATGACAATAACAACAAGACACTTACGGCTATCTTAGCCACACTTGCACAACTCACAACTCAAATTGAAAGATTTAATGAACTTACCAATACCATGAGAGAACAACAAGAACAAAAACTGGATCTATCAAACCAGAATCCAAGACCAAACAATGTTGAACTTTTGGAACCCAGGCGGGAACAACCATGTTTCCAAGCACCCAAACTCATTGCAAAACCAAAGTTCACGGTCCCATCTTTCAAAGTAGACAACGATCCGGAAAGGTACATCAATTGGGAAGGAAATGTTGATCTCATGTTCGCTTACCATGACTGCCCCCAATCTAAACAAGTTCCCCTCATCACCATGCAATTCGAAGGATATGCTCAAACTTGGTGGATGCAACCAAGGAAAAAGATCCAGAACTTCCAAATTCAAACAATCACTTCTTGGACCAACCTCAAACAAACCATGAGGAAGTGATTCCTATCGACACATTATACACGAGAAGTTAAACTACGAATACACCGACTTCGACAAGGTAGAAGTTCAGTTGAAGACTACTACAAGGAGATGCAGTCCTTACTCAATAGGGCTAACATAACCGAAAAAGAGGACATCACCGTGTCAAGATTCATTGTCGGCTTAAACTCAAACATCACTGATCTTCTTGATCTCCATGTGTACGAAAACCCTGAAGATACACTAAAGAAAGCAATGAAAATCGCAGTACAAATCCAAAGGAGATTCCGATTCAGAGAACATTACCAAGGTACTTCATCCTCTTACCCTAGGTAATCCTTCAAATCTTTCCTCGTCTCCTACTCCATCTTCTCTGAAAAAGCCAAGAGATGACAAACCTGACAAGGAGAAAGAAGGACCAGCAAAGAATGTCACACTTCCAGCCCCTAAAGATCAAATGATAATTTGTGAGGAGGTAGGGAAAGTAAAAAAAGAAAAAGCTGAGAAAGAGGCAAAAGCAAAAAAGGTCACTAGTTACAATCTCGAAGAAATATTAGGCAATCCTCCTGACGGATTACCACTGGAAAGAGAAAAACAACACCAAACCAATCTAATTCAAGGTTTAATCATACCTCCTCAAACATACAATCTCGAAGAAACCAAAGAGTTAGATTTGTTACAAAAAAACTACATCCAGGAAAGCCTTAGTCGTGACACCATCTTAATGATGTTTTCATCTTAATGATGAAACATGATTTGAAAAACTCAATAGGCTTTATAGTTTGTGCACAAGGAATCCATATAAATGATGAAAGAGTAAAAGCAACACGAGACTGGCCCACACCATCTTCCATCGCCAAGAGTTATCGAATAGTGCTAGGTGACCCTCCTAACGGATTGCCACCTGGAAACCCTAATCACTATGTCATATCAATAAAGAGTCACGATTTATGAGATTCCAAAGATTCGAGGAAGAATCCATTTGAGGAGTGGGGGAATGATACATGCACCAGAGACCATAATACATGCTTCTCTGGACTAATGTTTCTACTCGAACTTATTAGAAGAACAAAGCCTCAAACATTCAAAGCATATTTATTCGGTAAGCATACCGTCAGTCAACTGACACAATTTCCATCCAACGGGGGGACTTCTGAATCATATTTAAACGTTGTGGGGATAAATTCTCAAAAAAAAAAAAAAATTGGGGCAAAAATGGATATAGTGTCAAACGTTAGAGGTATTTGTTTGCATTATGCCTTTAAATTATAGTGAAATTTTTTAAATTTATTTGGATTAGTTTATATTTTAATTCATTTATTATTTATTTAATTAGACGTAATTCAATTATTGTTTTTGCAGATATAAGACTCTCAGTCTTTAAAACTCTTAAAATTACACCTATTTCAACTATTGTTTATTGTGATGGAGAAATTCAGGAAGATGAAACCGACATCGTCTTCACATCAAATCATTATAACAGAAAATTCTTCAAGAGAAACATCACTCTTGAGGAGTTGATAACTAAAATTTCAAGGAAGATGCATGTTGGAAGTACTAGAAGAATGTCTTCACTTCAGTACAGATTTCTAACAACAATATTTTCGTTAACTTATACAACATTCGAACTCCCCAATGATGAAGATGTTGCTACGATGGTTGATTCTGATAATCAATATTAAGACGTCGATACACAGATGTATGTGATATTTGTTGAAGTGTGTGTTGTTAGTGGTATGTCATTATGCTCTCACTATGGGCTGGCTCAACAAGCTGATCAAGTTGACAGCCCAACTCAAGTAATGTGTAATGATTTTAACTTGTTAATGGGAAATCCACATTATGGTGCGATCCCATCAAGTTCAATGGGGAGACATTCATCAGCAACTTGTAACAATCTGTACCGAGGTGGCTACACAAACAATCCGTATGACAACATCACTTTCAATTCAAGGAAAATGCATTCATCTGCCAATTTCTTTGACCTGAGTATGGAGATGCCCTCGATGCACCATCTGTGCAGTACCCATTTGACACAATGCCTTCAAGTTCTAGGGGGAGGCATTCAACTGCTAGCTTATTCAACTTGAATGTCGAGATGCCTTCAAGTTCAAGGGGAAGACATTCAACTACCAGCTTGTTCGACCTAAATGTCGACATCGTGGAGGAACCCTCATCTCCAACAGAAGAACCTCTTTGTGAGCCAGGTGCGGATGGTGCAGAGACTGGACTTTTCGTTTAGTCAGAATCATCGCAGTTCAACATGGACTACGATGATGATGATGTAGATGAAGTTCCCACAAATACGATACTATCGACACCGTTTTCGCCCGGGTGAGGAAAGATCGATGCCTACTCGGGGTTTTCTCATTGAAAAAGGTTTTTGAAATATGATGAGTCACCGCCAATCATTTATTATTCTTTTAATTTTATTTCCATTTATTTCTCGATATATATATATATATAGTTTTATGTATGTATTCGGTCCAAATTTGGAATTCATTTAGTCTTTGGTTTGTAGCATGTATTTCCTTAACAGATTCCTAGGTTTAAGATATTTGATTTCTATTGGACCTTTTAAATTTTCTCTTAATTAGGCTTTCATTTAGATTAATTAGGATAACCTTCTAACCAATATACGTTTACACTCAGGTCCTTTTTTTATTATTGTCCGTTTAAAATGTTAAAATCTAACCTTCCTTATTGGTTCTTCTCTTTGGTTCACTTAATATTTTATTTTATAATCTAACATCTTGTTGACTTTTTAGGGATAATTTTAATCGATCAATGGTAACTAATTCGGATCAAATTTTAATTTTTAATTTAACTTTTAACTTTCGCAATTAAGGCAACCGTGAAATTAAATTGGTATCGAAAGGGCAGTATAAGGGTGCTAATCATTCCTTGACCGTAATCGACTCCCAAACCTGTTATATTTCTGGTAAAACGTGGATCAGGTAAGATTTGTAAATTAAGATATCCGATCAACCTAAATTTTAAATTATCGGTGGTTGCTCTAACACATCTATTTAAGTCCAAGCCTAATTCTGGGTTCACCCGAAGAACGGTGACTACAGCTTGGCGATTCTACTGGGGATATATAAGTCAGTCAGGCTAAAATTAATTATTGGTTGTCTTCTTAAGAGAAAATTGTAAATTTAAATTTTAATATTTATTCGATCCTTATTATTTATCTTTGATTATTTTTCAAATAAATAGTTGTACTGATGTTTTTTCAATGATTTTAGTTTTTAAAATTCATCTCAGGCTCTATACTCGAGCTCCAAACCCTTTTATAAGTGGAGGTGAAAGCGACGACTTCGTGAGAATTTATTCTCCGTATAGGCCAAGCAAGTAACCTTCGGAACTCATATACCTTATGTCTTCGTGTGAATTTATTCTCCGTACATACATAAGGGAATGTGTCCTCTCAAGTTCAACTCGATCCACATAAGCTTGTAATGGGTTTAGGACTGACGGTCTGGTAAGCCCAAGGGGACACTGGCAAGGAGAACTTGGGTACCTTTTTTAGAACCTAAACTGGTAGACAAGGAATTAGAGCCCACCCCAAAACTTCATTTCAAAACCTAGGTTTTTTGAATTTCCT